ATAGCTGGGAAAACACCGCGGGGAGCCGGGGCCAGCTCGGGGAGGGGGATTCGGGTGGGCTGAAACAGAATTCCCCAAACCTGGTGATGCTGATCCCGTCACCCATCACCACCTCCCTGCATCCCAGGGGCACTGCCCAGCCTTGGGGCTGGACCCGGGGAAAACCCAGAGAGCCCAGCAGTCCCCAGTGTGGATTGTAGGGATGCGTTTTGATCCCAGCACCTGGGCGCAGAGGATTTTACCAGCATCTTCCTTGCTGGTTTGGGATTTATCCTTCTTTTTCTTGTTTTGTGCCTTTCGGGTCGCTGGGAAATCGTGAGGAGAGTGGGAACTGCAGGAATGGGGGTGCAGATCGGGAATGGGGGTTCAGATCAGGAACGGGGGTTCAGATCAGGAGTGGGGTGCAGATAAGGAATGGGGGTTCAGATCAGGAGTGGGGGTTCAGATCAGGAAAGGGGGTGCAGATCAGGAGTCAGAGGAGGCTTTGGGTGTATTTGAGCTCTGAACTCGGGGTTTTCAAAGGCCAGGGTTGGGAAGGGCTCGCTCAGCTCGAGCAGCCCAGCCCTGATCGCAATCTCGGGCAGAGGAGTTCGGTGTGAAATCAGCGTTTGAGCCGGGGCCGTCCCCTGCGGGGGCAGCCAGGATGCCGGGGCCAAAGGACACGGGAAATGAGTCAGTGAGCACCCGGAGATGTGGCGGGGAAGGGGGAGAGTTCAGCTGGGGACAGCTGAGAGGGGATGAAATGCCCAGGGACAATGGGGCAAATGTAAAACCCCTTTCCTGTGCCCAGGGACAACGGGACAACCACAAAACCCTTTCCTTGTGCCCAGGGACAATGGGGCAACCACAAAACTCTTTCCTTGTGCCCAGGGACAATGGGGCAACCACAAAACCCCTGCCCTGTGCCCAGGGACGATGGGACAAGCACAAAACCCCTGCCCTGTGCCTAGGGACAATGGGGCAAATGTAAAACCCCTGCCCTGTGCCCAGGGACAATGGGACAAGCACAAAACCCCTGCCCTCAGGAGCTGGGGACAGGGATTGTCATCCCAAATGGGAACTTTTCACCTCTCTGAGGTCCCCAGCACTGCTCTGGGCTCAAACCCCTTCCCTTTGGGGCTGCTCTCCCTCTGGGACAGCAGGATGTGGGGACGCAGCTCCAAAGTCAAGAGAGGAGCCCAAACCCCCAGAGATTTACACCACAGCCACACAATGCCATGTTTTTCATGGTGTTTCCACTTCCCACAGGTGGGAACATTGCTCCCAACCTTTTCCTGAGCCTGAATTAGGGAGGTGAGGGCAACATGTGCTGGTCCAAGCCTGGACCAGCTTCTTCCAGCAGCACCTGTGGCATGCTCAGCATCCCTCCCACAGGACTGACATGTCTGAAATTGGATTTAGCTGTGATTTTCCTGGTGAAATCTCCCCTGGAAAAGGATGGCAGCGCTCATCCCATCTTAATTCCATAGGAGGAAGGAGTCTCAGGGCAGCTGGGTGCCAGGCAATGCCTTGGACAAAGAAAACCCCAAAACATCTCCCCTGCTTTCTGGGAGCAGAGTTCAGCCGGGCTCTGCAGGGATGTGGGTGGCAAAGGGGACACCTTTTTTTGGGGACCTTTTTTTGGTGACCCAATCTGATAGAAACCATCTGTGCAGCAGCTGGGGAAGTCCTGGGTGGCTGGGGCCGGACAAGGACTTTTAAAAAAGGAAATGGCACGAACGAGGTGTGAATTCAGTGGTTCCTCCGCGTCAGATGGAAAAGCTGACCCGACCACTCTTCAAAAGGGAGAAGAAGAAATCAAACAGGGGGAGAAGAAGAAATCAAACAAATCCTTGTTAGAAACAGCCCTGACCTGACAAAGCAGCTCCGCTCTCGGGCTGACTTTGGCTGCCCCAGCCGCAGCAGCCGCCCCGGGGGTATTGATCGGCTGAGAGGGAAATGCAGCATCGATAAAGCATCGGCTGGAAAAGCAGCTCTGCCCCGGGGCGAGCGGCATTCCCGGGCTGTCCCGGTGTGTCCCGGGCTGTCCCGGTTTGTCCCGCAGCCAGAGCTGGGAGTGCAGGCACAGAGCCACCAAGAAACAGGGGAAGAAAGAGAGGGAAAAGATGTTTTCCAGCCCAGATAGTTTCTGGGATCAGAGGACTTTTGGAGCCACCTCCAAAAGACTCTGCCCACGTCCCGAGCCCTTTCAAACACTGATGAGCTGGGAATGTCATTCCCGGCCCTCTTTGCCTGCTGCATCCCGGAATTGTACCTCGGAGTCATTAAAAGGGATTTTCCCAGACCAATAAACCCTGTTTTGTTTTCCTGTCTTCTGTTTTCCAGGGGACATTTTCTACCCTTAGAGGGCCGTGTTTGCCCCAGCTGCAGCAGGAGCTCTGTGGTGCGTGGGGGTAGGAAGAGGGATGAGGGAAAAGACGGATCCAGTCAGGGAAAGGTGAGCCAAGGGCTGGGCCAGAGCAGAGCCAGAGACATCTCTGCTCTCCCAGGAGGGATGAATTGGGAATTTGGGTGATGACAAAAGGCGCTCAGCTCTGCCAGACAAACACAAACCCCAATTATCTGCTCCCACCACCCCTGGGGCGTCACCTGGCACCTCGCTGTCATCCCAAACAAGCTGAGGCTGACTTCTGGGAAGTGGCTTTGAGAAGACTTTGGAGAACAGCAAATTCCCATTCCCATTCCCCTTCCAGGACTGACCCCAAGGCAGTCCAGGACACAGCCTCAAGCAGCACCAAGGGAAATATAGGCTGGATATTAGGAAGAAGTTTATTACAGAAAGGTGATAAACTTCTGGAATGGCTGCCTGGGGAGGTGGTGCAGTCACCATCCCTGGGTGTGTTTAACAAAGCCTGGATGTGGCACTGGGTGCCAGGGTTTAGCTGAGGAGTTGGGGCTGGGCTGGACTCCATGATCTGGAAGGTCTCTTCCAAACTTCTGGTTATTCTGTGATTCTGTGCAGGGCCGTGTCCCCAGCGCCCCAGGATCCCTGGCATTCCCAGCGCAGCCTCCGCCTCTCCCCGCTCTCCCATCCTCCGCCAGCTGCCGGCAGCTGGAAGCGCCCTGGGACCTGCGGGGCTGGGGGGAGAAGGGGCTTTTTCAACAGCTGCAGCCAGGCAAAATCCACCAGGAATTCCCTCGCTGGCCTCTGCCTTTCCCAGCCCAGCACGGCCAAGAACATGAGCTGCTGCTTTGGCAGCGGAGCAGGGAAGTGGAGCCACCTGCCCGTCCTCCCCCCGGCCCCCTGGGCCCCAAACACCCTCAAAAACTGCACAGAGGAGTTTGTGTGCCTCATGCAACCAGGCAGAAGCTGTTTCTCTATGTTTCGGGGGTTTTTCTCTATAGTTTTATTTTCTCTATGGCTGTTTTTTTTGGAGGGGAGAGGTAAAAGGGTTTTTGGCTGGCGGTCCCCAGGGCCAGGACACAAAACTGCAGAGCAGGGGGAGGACAGGGACCATGGGAGACCCTGCAGGATGCTCTGCCTGTCCCTTGACCCATCCAAAGGACATCCCCAAACCCTCTCACCTCCTCTGGGGCTCCCTCCACGAGGCCTGGACACAGCCTGCCCGGGGACCCAGGGTGCAGAGCCAAGCTCTGGGAACAGCCTGTCCATCAGCCCCATTTCCCCAGCTGGAGCTCAGGAAAATCCCAAGCCCATCGGTGCCAGAAGCACCGCCTGGGAGCACATTTTTCCTTTCCCAGGGCTGGGGAGGGGATGAGGGGATGAGTTTCACTTACCCTCTGTGCTTTGGGACGTGGCAGGGGCCAGGCCCTCCCCCTGGCCCTGGGGGAAGATCCCCCATAAAAGCAGCCGGGGCAGGCTGGCCCCAGCACAGGCGGCTCAGCCACTGCCACAGCCCGCCATGGGGACAGCCACCAGGATGCTCTGTGCCCTCCTCATCCTCTCCACGCTGTGCTGGCACAGCCTGGCTCAGAGTGAGCATTGCCAGGGGCTGGGGGACGGGGACAGAACCCGGGGATGGGGACAGAACCCGGGGATGGGGACAGAACCCGGGGATGGGGACAGGGACAGGGCTAGGGGACAGGGACAGAACCCAGGGATGGGGACAGGGAGAGAACCCAAGGTTTGGGGATGGGGACAGAACCCAGGGCTAGGGGACAGGGACAGAACCCAGGGCTGGGGGAGAGGGACAGAACCCCAGGCTGTGGGGTCAGGGACAGAACCCCAGGGCTGTGGGGTCGGGTTTTCTTCACACATGGGGTGCAGCGGGATCCCCCCAAAGTGCTGCCATTGCCATGGCAGGAGGGCTGAGGAGGGGCTGGGGGGTCTCCAGGCTGAGCCAGGCTTGTGCTGTCCCCCAGGAGCTCCAGCCATGCCGGACAAGTGCTGCTTCAACTTCCAGACCAGAAGGATCAAGAGGGACAACGTGGTGGCCTGCTACCCCACCAGCCCCGAGTGCCCGCACCAGGCTGTGATGTGAGTAGCCCAAAGCCACCCCTGCATCCTGCCACACCCCTGGCCTTGCTCTGGTCCCGACCCCCTGTGCCCCTGAGCCCCTCAGCACTCAGTGTTGGGGTCCCCACTGACCCCAGCCCCTCTGTGCCCCAGCTTCAAGGTGAGGAACGGGAAGGAGATCTGCACCCAGGCCAGCAGGGCGTGGGTCAAGAGGTACCAGCAGAGCTTCCAGGTCAGCTCCTTCTCCATCCCCAGCTAGTGGGGTGGCTGGGGACGGCGGGGACTGCTCCTCGTGGGGGACACCACCGAGGCAGAGGGGACATTTCTGGATGGAGCAGCTCACAAGGGACATCCTCCTCGTCACGATGACCCTCACCACCTCCCTGAAGGCAAAGGGCCTTTGCCAGCCCAGCAGGATGGACTGTCCAGACCCTCTGTGGCCCGTGGAGAGGCTGCAGCAGGCGGGGGGTGGAGGGGGAGCAGCTCCACAGTTGTTTTTTTTTGATTCTGACCAGAATTAAACGTGATTCCCACATGCAAACATCTGTCTGTGCGAGTCTCTCGGGCCTGGGCAGATCCTGCTCCGGCTTTCCTGCCCAGGTGTTGGGATCAGGAAGGAGCCAGGAGGAGCTGGAGCCTCGGCCAGGTCTCTGTGAGGGTGTCCAGGGGTGAGTGGGGCCAAACCAAAGCCATGAGGGCTTTGGGGAGGGACAACATGCAGGGAGGAGGGGGCTGCCTGTGCTCCTCATCCACCACCCTAATTAACAGCCCAAATTCCATTAGAGGGGGATCTCAGCGATGCCTGAGCCAGCCCCAAACCCCAGGATGCCACAAGGAAATGTGATGGGCACTGTGACAGTGGCAGAGGCACCACGATGAGCAGCCAGCAATGGGTGCTGGAGAAACAAACCAGCCACCACCAAGCCACCACCCCAGAGCAAGCAGAGGCCCCAGAGCCAAAGGCAAGGAGTGGTTTTTTGCACAGGAACTCACAAGTGTGAGCATCATCCTGTGCTGTTTGCTGGTGGCCACAACCCAACCCAAAATAGACTCCCAGCCCAGCATCAGTGGCTGCTCCCACACCTCTGAGCAGCCCTCGGGTGTCACGGTGGCCAAAGTGGCTGCCAGAAGGAATTTCCCCTCACCTCTCACCCCTCATGGAGAGATCCAAGCGGTTCTTTCCACGGGGAGGGTCCAAGCTGTCATGGAAAGCCTGGCAGGGGCTGTTATAAATCACCCAGGGCTGCAGGCAGGAGGGCAGGCAGCTCCTGCTGGCCTGAGGAGAACCAGAGCTGCTGGTGCTGACAGAACCTCGGGCTGGACATGAAGATCTCCTTGGCCCTGCTCGTCCTGCTGCTGGCAGCTGCCTGGACTGGGAGCCAGGGACTGTCCTGTAAGTACCAGCAGGGAGATTTTCCCTTCTGAGCTGTCCCAGCTCCTCCTCTGACGGGATTTGGGGCTGGGGAAGAGCAGGAAAACTCAGCTCCTGATGGGGCTGTGGGACATCAGCAGCTGCCTGAGCATGGGGCTGGCCTGGATTTGTTCAAAATGAGTAAAAATGGGGTTGGTTCAGGCCCAGAGTGCCAGCTGGGGAGCTCTACGGGCAGGGTGCTCCTACCCTGGGGAAGAGCACCACCCCTGGGGCAGAGCATCACCCCTGGGGCAGAGCATCACCCCTGGGGCTGCAAGATGCTCCCTTTGTGGGCTGAGGGAGCAGGGGCAGGACCCACACCCCTCGTGCCAGGAGGGGAGGGCACTGAACCCTCCCTCCTGCTCTCAGTCCGCAGGTCCAGCCCCAGCTGCTGCTCCAAGGGAATGTTCTCCCGTCGGAAAATCCCCGAGTTCAAGATCCTGGGCTACCTGGAAACAGCCTCCAGCTGCACCCACAGGGCTGTTCTGTGAGTAACCCCAGCTCCTAGCCAGCCTTCCTCCCCTCCACCCCATCCTCGCCTCGCCCACCCTCCTTCCCCACCAGCTGCTCTGCTTTTGGGGACTCCCCAAAAACGAGGCACCCTCACAGGGTGCTGCGGGTGGGGCTGTCCTCCCCTGGCTCTTCACACTCACCCCCCTCCCTGCTTAACCCAAACAGCCCCAGATGGCCCCATTTGTGCTGCCAGCAGGCCAAGAGTCAGCCCTGGCAGGGAAGTGGGGGCAGGATGCTGCAGGAACCCCTGGGGGATCCTCCACTCCCAGGCTGACTCGGGATGTTCTTTCCCCCCAAGTGTGAAGCTGGCAAAGGGGATGGTCTGCGTGGACCCAGAGGAGAAATGGTTCCAGGAGTACCTGAGGAAGCAGAAGAAGCCAAACAGCACCTCCACGTGAAGCTGCCTTCCCCACATCTCTATTTAATTGTACCCCATAATCCTCTGTGTGTTTTTGTGTCACTCATTAATTTAACAGAGCTGGCTCTGTCCCCTCCCCTGCACTCAATAAACCCTCCTGTGGTCACCTGTGGCTGGAGTGAGATGTCAGTCCTGGGCAGAAAACGGGTCACACCCGGGCTCAGCCTTGCCAGGAAGAGTCCAGGAAACCCAAAGGGCCCAGCTCCCTCCAAGGTGGAGCAGCCCTGCCCGGGAGTGGGGCTCAGGGATGCCCTGGGCAGCTGCCCATGGGGTGGGGAAATGGGAGAAGGATTCCCTCTGGGGTCTTTGAGGGTGTTTAGGGGTTGGGTTGGCTCAGTCCCTGGGGAGCAGCCCTGGTGACAGCCCCAGCTGGGTGTCACTGCCTTCCCCACCACCCTGGGCCACCAGCCAGCTTGTCACCCAAACAGGGCACCCGTCCAAGCCACGGGCTGGCAGTTTCTCCAGAAAAAAAGCTGCATTGTTCACTTCCCTCTTAGTCTGTGACTCACTTGAATCATCTTTTTGACGAGCTAGGACATGCCTCACTCTTAAATATACCTTTATACACATTGCCAGATTTGTTGCCATTTGTCTGCCCCCATTTAGGGAATTTTTTTGTACAAATCAATGACTAATTTTGTACAATCAATGGCCAATGGACAATTAATCTGCCACAATGCCCACAGGACTACATCACCTGGAACTGGTCTGGAATTAGAAGGAATTCTTGCCTAGGACTGTGAAACTGCAATTCTCAATTTTTGCAGAAAATGAGGGTTAACCAGACTTTTCTAGTTGCTCTTTGGTGCTGGAAATCCCAGGATCCAGCAGAATATTGGGGATGTGTGAAGGATAGGGCAGGAATTGGTTCTCTAAACCACAGAAGCATTAAGGAAAAGACCTTTAAGGTCAAGTCCGAGCATTAACCCAGCACCAAACCACATCCCCAGGTGACACATCTCTGGAACACCCCCAGGGTGGGGATCCCACCCAAGTGCCACATTCACCCCGAGAATCTGACTCAGAGATGGAGCCCACACAGAGGTGCCAGATGATGAAGCATTGAACCACTTGGGGATGAAAGATTGCCAAGGTGGGGCTGAGAGCCACCAGCTCGGTGTCCCTGTGGCCCTGGTGGTGCTGGGTGGCAGGAGGGTGGCAGGCATGATAACTCAGGTTTAGCTTTTGTATTTTTCAGGTTCTGTGCTGCTTTAGGTCTGCGTTTCATATCAGGGGATGGGGAGCTCTGTGCACAGAGCAGGGAGACAAAACAATTCCTGCTCCAGCTGGGGACCAAGGACAAATGATCCAAATCTCAGCCCAAGAGTGTAAATAATGGTGAATTGAAGAGAGGAAAACAGGAAGGATGGGACTGCAGGGGCTGCAGCTGGGATTGGACAAGGAACTGCAATCTGCACTTGGAGCAGAGCTGATCACAGTGAGAGACCCCGTGACCATCGTGCATTTTGGGACCATTTTGGCTCTTAGGGTGCAGCCCTAGCTGGACTCTTGTGCTGCCCAAGGATCCACTGAGGAGATCCTTTTAATAAATCCCTGCTTTATTCTTTAACCCCATTTAGAGACTGTTCTAGCTCAGCCTTCCCAAGGCATCAGGCACGTGTGGCTGCAGTGCCAAATCACCCCCCTCTTGCTGGACATCATTGCCCACTGATCCCAAAAAAGGTGGAGATTAAATGTATGAGATGGCTTTTTTTTTTTTTTTTTCATTTTGTTTTTTTTTTTTTTTTTCATTTTGTTTTTTTTTTTTTTTTTCATTTTGTTTTTTTTTTTTTTTTTCATTTTGTTTTTTTTTTTTTTTTTCAGACTTAGATGTTTATTAATTCTTATTTATTTTACAGTCTCACAAACTGTGAGTTCTACAGCACGAAACAGAAACTAAATGGAGAGTTCAAAATAAACTGAAAATGGAGCTGTATCTCTCTCTCCACAAGGCTTTTTAAGGACAAACTGTCTAATTAAGAGATGACACTTAAATTATTTTTACTTTTAACTTAATAACTAATTACTTGTGGCCCTCAATGAGGATTTTCTAATTTAATTATACAACACCACTCAAACCTATGAAGAAGAAGGTGAAGAAGGAGGACTAGCTTTTGCCTTGAAACTTCTATTTTGTTTTATATATATTACTATATAAAACTTTAAACTCTGAGTTTTTTACTATGTGATAATACACACTCCTATTCAAACTACACACTCATAATCTAAGTTCTACAATTAATTTTGGAAGCTTTCTTTACAGCCTCAGGTTAAATGCAGTGTTCTCTTGGGGGTCAGTACTTGTCAGCACTGAAATGTTTAATAATTCTTTAACAAATTTAATTAATTTAAGAATTAATTTAAGGGGAGTTTTCTGGAATGCCTGGCAGAGGTTGTTCTTTTCCTTTACCTTTCTTCCTCTCAGCCTGGTGCTAAAGCCACTCTGATGCAGGACCACAGAAAACCTGTCCTGGGCTGGGGTCTTCCCACAGGACCCTCAGGGAGGGAAGGAACATTTGGAAATTTGACTTACAAATCCATCAGCAGGGCCTGCTGTAGGAACTCTGCTTTGAAAGCAGAATTAGCCCCACAAAAACCCCACACAGCAGGGTCAGGCCAGCTCATGAGGCTGCCCCGTGCTCTCCTCGGAGCCCCGAGGCACAGGAGCTCTTTGCAGCATTTTTATCAATGAGTGTCACTCCCAGGGGGATGTTGCATAACCCCAGTGGCTTCCTCTGCACTTGCACGGGATCGAGGGGCTGGCAGCCACTTTCATTTCTTCCTGCTGAGGGTTCCTGCCTTGGGGAAGGCAGAGATTGCTTTGATCCCTTTGGTGCTCTCCTGAAAGGGTGCCCAGAGCATCCTCAGCCTCAGGGTTACAGCTGGACTTGATTATCCCTGTGGATCCCTTCCAGCTCAAGAATATATTGTGTTTGTGGGGTGCCCCGATGAAGGAAGGAGTGATGAATCTGACCCCATGTTCTCAGAAGGTTAATTTATTATTTTAAGATACTATATTATATTAAAGAATACAGAAAGGATACTTACAGAATGCTCAAAAGATAATAATGAAAACTCGTGACTCTCTCCAGAGTCCCAACACAGCTTGGCCTGGATTGGCCAATGAGTGAAAACAACTCACACCAAAATCCAATGAAACAGTCACCTGTGGGTAAACAATCTCCAAACACATTCCAAAGGAACAAAACACAGTAGAAGCAAGTGCGATAAGAATTGTTTTCATTTTTCTCTGAGGCCTCTCAGCTTCCCAGGAGAAAAATCCTGGGCTAAGGGATTTTTCAGAAAATGTGAATGTTACAAGAATATTCTGTGATTCTCCTCTTGTCCCTTATTTCTGGGATAAGAGCCCTAAGGGAGAGGTTCCTCTCCATTGGACTGAGCAAATTTGGGGTGTGCTCTGGCCCCACACAGTCCCTGCTGCTCCCCCTTGTCAGTCAGGGATGGTCCCTCTGCCCAGCCCCCGGGGCTGAGGGGGTCCTGCTGCTCCCCCTCGTCCTGCCCTCAGTCAGGGATGGTCCCTCTGCCCAGCCCCCGGGGCTGAGGGCGTTTCAGACCTAATCCCTCCTTTTCTTTGGGATACTCACGCAAGGCAGTGCCAAAATCATCAGATTTTGTGAGACCAGTGCCACGTTTGCTCTCCCACCCCACGTGAGTTTGTCTGGTGGTGAGGTGGCCACAGCCTGGCTCAGGAGCAATTCATGGGAATCTTTGTAGCTTTTTTTGTTTTGGCTGCACCTGCCTCAACTGCCTCTTCCTTCCTTATTTATTCCTTATTTATTATTCCTTATTTGTTATTTGTTCTCTTTATTATTTGTCTCTTCCTTCTTTATTTATTCCTTATTTATTATTCCTTATTTCTTATTCCTTATTTATTATTTGTTCTTCTTTCCCTTTTCTTTCTTGGGTGCACAATATTTTGGTGTTATTGAGTACTCAACCATAACCAGACGAGCCAAAAAAGAAGTGGCATCTTTGGCTCTTTACTCTCCTCCTCTAACTAATGGGCTTTTTCTTTCTTCAGTTTTTCAAATTTGCATTTGTAAAGCTGAAGTTTCTCTTTCCCTGCATTTCCTCCCCCCCGAATTCATGTTCCTCTGCTGGATTCAAACGTCACCTGCTCACTATGGCAGGAGAAATAAAACCACAAGCCATTTCTTTACTCTCCCTTTATATCAGTTCCTGATATCTAATTCCTTAAACAGAATTAAACACCAACTGCCTGCTCTTGCTGAGCTGCACTTTTGTGCAATTCTCTGTAATATCCTCGATTCCAGTCACAATGGAAAATTTCATCAGCATCCAGTAAGAAGTCCCATCCGGCCCTCGGCCGAAAGGAGAACCGAAAGCTTGGCCAGTCACTTCTGCACCAAAGAGGAAACAGTTTTGCTTTTTTTTCCATCAGATTTATTAATGGTGAGATTTTCTGTGGTCCCTGCCTGATGACAAGTCATCCTCTGCCAACTGCAGTGCCCACAGTGCCCCGATCCCGTTTTCCAGGTTTTCTGGCTGTGGGATATTCCTCACCATGCTCCTGGTGTTTGTTGGCCCCCAGTGCTGCTCTCTTGCCCATCCTGCCCCTTTTCCCTCTGTTTGGGCACCCACCAAGCCGAGCTCAGCTCATCCCTGGCTCAGGGCTGCTCTCTCCAGAAAAATTCCCAGCCAGGCTTTGGATAGCTCAGGATCTCGTTCCTGTGGTTGACCCACACAGCAATTCCTGGTTTCCTCCATCCTGCCTGTCCCACTCCCACTTCTCCCCCATGCACAAACCAAGTTGGCCCTGGTGAGGTGCCAGAATTCCAGGGGTGCCTGGAGGGCAGAGCTGTGGGGAAATCTCTGTGGGACACGTGGCGTTTACAGCCAGAGAGGGTCATGAAAACACAAAAACTTCCACTGGCTGGCCCTGAACTTGGGACTCCTCTGCACACAGAGGGTGCTTTGAGCTCTAGAGAAACCTCTTGGTGTCTCTGCAATCAGCAGGGAAGAAAAACAGGATAAATTCATGCAGATCTGCATTGCTCTGGGGAATTGAGTCCCTTCCTTCTGCCTTTGTGTATCCAGGGAGATGCGACAAGCAGGAGCCTTTGCAGCAGGTGAATTTTCCAAGCCTTCAACCACCACCTGGTTATTGGTAAATCCAAAGGATTTATTAATTTATTTATTCATTTGTAGCTCCATGCAGAGAGTGACTCAAACAGAAAGAGCTGAAAATTGGGAGCTGGAGAAAGAGCTGGAAGAGCTGGACTCATTCTTCCACCAGCCCAAGGCCAGACCAGCCCTGCCCAGCTCCTCCTGAGCAGCTCCAGGGGATGATTTGCACCCATTCCCTGTCCTGCTCACACCAGGCAGGACCTGGCGGCTGGAGGACAAGAAGTGGAGATGGGAGCACAGGCAGTGCCATGGCTCAGCATTTTGGGCAGCTGGACTTTTCTCTTGAATCAGCCAGGAATTAGTCATACCCCAGGCAAGGTCAGCAGTAAGGCCAGGGGAAGCTCCGGGGCAGCACCAGGAAAAGACTGGAAAAGGCAAAAAAAATGGAGGAAGGAGTGATTTTGGCAGCTTGCTCTGCCTGGGTGTGCAGCAGAGGGGGGTGTTTGGGAATTGCCCTCTGGAATTGCAAATGCTGTCCTTTTTCAGTCACTCTGCATTTTCCTGGAGATTTTATCTGCAGTGAGCTGATCCCAGTGGGTACCAGCAGGATCCTCTCCTCCCTCTGCCTCCAACACTTAATGCTGTGTCCTGCCATGGGAGTCTCTGCTTTTGGGGGCTAAATCAGGAGAAATTAAATTGGCCTTAATGCTGTGTCCTGCCATGGGAGCCTCTGCTTTTCGGGGCTAAATCAGGAGAAATTAAATTGGACTAAATGATCCTGCTTGGGAAGAAGTGGGCAAGCAGTTATTGCAACAACTTGAACGTTGAGAGGCCGCAGCCAAAACTGAAACTCTTCAGTGTAAATCCAGAGGAAAGGGAAGGTGGCAGGGTCAGCTGCAGCCAAAAATTAAACCCTGAGAGAGGTGTAAATTCAGCCAGAGGGCACAGGGAGGGTGGCAGAGCAAGCTGCTGGCCTGGAACAGGGCACCAGAGTCCAGGCCCTGCACCTGCAGGGATTCGGTGTCTCTGCAGCCTTTCCAGTAAGGAAATTGTTCTTTTGACCAACCACCAGCAAAAAGGGACAAATGTGAGACCTGCCATGGGAGTCTCTGCTTTTGGGGGCTAAATCAGGAGAGAAATTAAATTGGATTAAACAATTGTTTGGGAAGAAGTGGGCAAGCAGTTATTGCAACAGCTTTAGTGTTGAGAGGCCGCAGCCAAAACTGAAACTCTTCAGTGTAAATCCAGAGGAAAGGGAAGGTGGCAGGGTCAGCTGCAGCCAAAAATTAAACCCTGAGAGAGGTGTAAATTCAGCCAGAGGGCACAGGGAGGGTGGCAGAGCAAGCTGCTGGCCTGGAACAGGGCACCAGAGTCCAGGCCCTGCACCTGCAGGGATTCGGTGTCTCTGCAGCCTTTCCAGTAAGGAAATTGTTCTTTTGACCAACCACCAGCAAAAAGGGACAAATGTGAGACCCCCAGTGACTTCTAGCTCAACACAACTTTATTCCCTCATGATCTTCCCTGTCCAAGCAGGAGCTGGTGTTATCAGTGGGGATGAACGTGTGTGCAGTGGCTGTGGACCTTGCTCTGGATCCCCGTGGTGGAGCCGGCTGAGAAGTGGCATTTGTGGCAAACCCAGGGAGAAGTTGGCATCTTTCTCCTGGCAGGGCTTTTCTGCCAGCAGCAGTGGCTGGTGCTGTCCATGCCAGGGCACCCCCAGAGCTGCTGCAGAGCCCTGGCACACTTTGGGAGCACCAGGCACCCAAGGAACATCTCGGAAGCTGCAGCCTCGTGGACAGCGCTTCCCCTTCTGCGGTTTCATCTCCTTTTCCAGCTCAGCAAAAATTGGGTGGTCCTGACATAATTTTCTCAGCATTATGCCATCATTTTCCTTCCTTGAAACCCTGTACCCGCCCCTTGGATGGGGATAAAACGGGAGCACGGCCCCAGGGCCACAGCAAGAATCCTGCAGTCTCCCCAGCTCCAGCTCCAGCTCCTCTCACAGAACCCGCAGCACCATGAAGGTCCTGGCAGCCACCCTGGCCACTCTGCTCCTCCTGGCCACCTGCTTCTCAGCTGAGGGTCACTTCGGTGAGTCCAGCATCGCTGTGTCCTCCTGGAGAGTCCCTGCCCTGGCAGGGTGGCTCTGGGGAGGGTTGGGGGGTCTGTGTCACACCGGGGGTGCAGGTTTGGATCTGGGGGTTGCATGGAGGGCGTTCTGCCAGGGGATGTGGAAATCCCTGGAGGGGGCAGAGGCTGTGCTGGGCTCTCACCAGGGCCGTGTGTGTGTCCCCTGCCCTCACAGATGGTGTCCCCAGCACCTGCTGCTTCAGCTACCAGAAGCAGCCCATCCCTCGGCGCCGCGTCAGCTCCGTCTTCGTCACCAGCAGCTCCTGCATCCAGCCGGGCGTGATGTGAGTGCCCAGAGGGGACTGGGGGGCCTGGGGACACACACGGGTGTCATGTGAGTGCCCAGGGGGGACTGGGGGGCCTGGGGACACACAGGGGTGTCATGTGAGTGCCCAGGGGGACCTGGGGACACGCATGGGTGTCATGTGAGTGCCCAGGGGGGATCTGGGGACACTCGGGGTGCTGCTGCTGGCACTCAGATGCCGCTGCCCCAGCCCAGCAGCTCAAGGCAGGTTTTGTCCTGGCAGTGTGGTCACCCACAAGAAGAAGCAGCTGTGTGCAGATCCAAGGGCAGCATGGGTGCAGGAGCTCCTGAAGCACTTCCAGAGCCAGGAAAACTGAGCCTTCCCTGCTGACAGCCACAATGCCACCCCTGCACAGCTTCCAGCCTCGGGCACCACAGAGAGGATTTGACCCCCAGCCTTCTTCAATGGAGAAAATTATTTTATTTAACTTATTTAAGTTAAACTAAATATTGGGTTTTTTTCTAAACATTATTTTAAAATAATTTCTAAAAATTATTTAAACTATGTCAGAATAATACACTAAAATAAAGACTATTTTAATCATATCCACGTGCCTGTTAATGAAGGGTCAGTTTTGATGCCTCCTTGCACCACGGTGGGAGAAGGGACCACAGGGACCCCTGGGTTTGCTGTTCCCCAGCCTGGGTCCGGCTCTGGTGCCACCCAGCTTGTCCCCATAGGTGACACCTGTGTCTCACCTGGGGCTGCCAGTGGTGGCTCTTGTTTGGGGAATGTTCTGGAAGTAGCTGTGGTGCCAAGGAGAGCTGGGCTATGATTTTCTAGGGGATGGAATATCCTTTGGTCAGCTTGGATCACCTGGCCTGACTCTGCCCCCTCACAGCAGCTCCTGAGTCCTTGATGAAGGAAAACACCACTTAGGAACAGCTAAAACATCAACATTATTCTCATGCTGAATCCACCAGCAAATAGCTAAAACAATAATAAAATTGAGCTGCAGATCCTTCCACAACTCCACTGTCCCACACCACTGGTGACACCACCAGCCAGTTTGTCACCCAGCAAACAGGACACAGGACATGGGGACAGCAGATCCAAATTTCTGTGCCACCCAACTCTTTGCTAACAGGCACATTGATATAATGGAAACTACTTTTGTGTGAAGTTATTATCCTGACATATTTGAAATACCACACCTAATAGCTGCCTTTTGTAAGCTCAGAGGTATTTGTGGTGAAGGAAATGCAGTAGATTTCACTCATCTGGGCTTCAGGAAGACACTTGAATTAAGGCCAGATAGTAAATTATGAGCAAAGGCACAGGAGATGTGACTGGCATGTGAAAAGTAAATTTGGTCAAGAGCTGCCTGAAAGGAGCATGGTAATTGCTTCAGCTGAAAGGGGCTGTGTCACACTCACAGGGGCTTACCCACACAGTTCCTTGAGTTTCTGCCTCAAAAAATATCCTGCTTGACATTTGCATTAATGACCTTGGCACACAAAGCAGGAGAAGGCAGAGGAATTGTGCTGATGAGGCAAAACGAGATGGGATCATCAATCTGGAGCAGGCCAGGACATCACAAAGGAGGATTCTAATGACCTTGAGGGTGGAGGAGGGATCCAAGGCAGTGGTGCAGAGTAGGATCCTGCTGCTGGGGACAGGGATAACAGGAACACACACTCCAGGGAAAAGCCCTTGGCACACATCACAGCACTGATGTTATCATCAAAATAGTCAAATGCAAAAGGTTTGGGCTGAAAAATGAGGGACTGATCCATGTGAAGGCACCAGGGGTTGGAAGGAGGTGCAGGGGGCATTGCTGGCATTCCAGGGTGGACAGGCTGGAAACCAGCAGAGAGGAAATCAGGCTTGCACAGGGACATTGTAAGGTTCTCACACAGGTTTCTGACCCAAGATAAAAATCAAGCCCTGCTCCCATAGGCACCAGTCCCACTGATGGCTAAGGTTTTGGCTTTTATGTTTTTCAGATTCTGTGCTGCTTTAGTGTGTGGGTCTGAGCTTCACATTAGGGGATGGTGAGTTCTCTGCACAGAGCAGGGAGACAAAACAATTCCTGCTCCAGCTGGGGACCAAATTATCCAAATCTCAGGCGCAAGAGCACAAACAATGTGGACTGAAAAACAAGAAGGATGGGACTGCATGGGCTAAAGCTGTAATTGGATAATTAACCCCAATATGCAAATGGAGCAGAGCTGATCACAGTGAGAGACCCTGGGAGCGCTCGTGCATTTTGGGACCATTTGGGTTCACCTTGGGTGCAGCACTGGCTGGGCTCTTGTGCTGCCCAGGGTGGATCCATTGAGGAGATCCTTTTCATAAATCCCTGCTTTATTCTGTAACTCTTCCAGCCTCTGTTCCAGACCAGCCTTCTCAAGGCATCACCACCAGCAGGTTCCACAGGCCGTCCTGCAGCTGAGATTCCTTCCCAGGAGCTGCCCTGTCTTCACAAGGGCCAACTCCCAGAGGCCTTTCAGAGCCCAAGGTTGGGGCTCTAAAATTCCACACCTTTGCAGTGGAATCCAGTGTTCCCCAAGACTGTCCAAGCACCAGCAAACCAGGAAACTCCTTCCCAGGAGCAGCTTCACTCATTCCCCTGCAGGCCTGGAGGTGGTTTTGGTGTGAGCTGCCTATTGCTGTGGAATCCAATGTTCTCCAAGACTGTCCAAGCACCAGCAAACCAGGAAACTCCTTCCCAGGAGCAGCTTCACTCATTCCCCTGCAGGCCTGGAGGTGGTTTTGGTGTGAGCTGCCTCACTGAAACTGCTCAGCTCATCCCTTCAGTCTGGAGCAGCAGAATAACAGCACTTCTGCCCAATTTCCTCCAGAATATCCTTTTTGGACACTCCCAGCTCTAACACCCCTCGTTCTGTGCCCTGAAGGAGCAGAGCTGAGGCAGCCTCTGCTGGGCAGACACCCCCATTTCCTAAGCTGACCCCTTAGGGTCCCCAGGGCTGGATTAATTTTGTGGTTCCAACCTTTCACTCTCCACCTTCCTTGTGTGTGCCCATCCCAGCTCACTGGCCTTGGGATATGCCACCATCACTGCAGCACTTCAGGACATCAAATCTCTTCTGGGATCATCAGGGGTTTCTATTTCTTTATTTCTCTCCTTTCAGTTTCCTCCACATCCTCATCTCTGACCAAGTCCCTCAGAGCTTCCTGGGCCACCTCACTGCTGAGTTGAAAGATTTGTATATATATATATTTTTTTTTTTTTTAAATTTTCAGGCTTTTTATGTCGACTTCCTCTTTCTCTGGAATTTCTCTTTCGAATTAACTGGGACAAGACTAATCCTGGGGTCTGCTTGCATCCCTTTCCTTTTCAACCACAGGATGTGGGACTGACTCACATTTTAGGGAGAATTACTTCTGCCCTCCCTGATCTGTGAATCCCAGCACCCACAGCACCCCTCCACTCCCCAGTACCAGCCAAAGCTGTCTCTCTGGACACTCTCACCTGCTTTTCTCCTCAATTTTCCTTCTGTGAATTCCCCAGCAGGACAGCTGTGAAACCTTTCCCTTGCTTTTAGGACCAAGCCAGGAGTAATGGCAAGCATCAATCCTTTCCCATCCTTTTCAGAGCCACTTTTTTCTGGACCCTGCTGGGTGTAATTCACATGACAAAGCCTCCTCTTCCTCCCAGGAGAGGCATCACTCCTGATTCAAAGTGCTTTTTGGTGTGAAATCTGCTTTTTACCCTGGGCTAAATGCCTCAGAGCAGCCCCAGGGTAGGTTCCCCAGTGTGCCTCCAAAAAGCTGACCCTGCTACCTCCAAAAATGCCTTGCAGGAAGGTGGGAAAGAGTCCAGACAGTGCAGAGAAGCAGAAATAACAAAACACAGCCAGGTTTTGCATCTGGGCCTGTCTTTGCCCATAGAGCTGAGTGAAAAATGTGATTTTGCAAGCCCATAGAGCTGAGTGAAAAAAAGTGATTTTGCTGTCCCCACAGCAGGACCGTGTCCCCACCACCAAGAGCAGCAGGGTGGGAGCTCAGGTGACAATGACAAATTACAGGTGCCAGCCTGGAGCTCCATGCACACTCCTGAGGTTGGGACACAAGTGGCAGGGATGCTCTGGGAGGGACACAACCTCCAGCAAACACCTTGGGCACAATGAGGCAGCAGGCTTTGGTGGCTCAGAGGGCACAAGCAGAGGAACAAGCCAGACACAGGGATGTCCGCAAGGAGAAAGAGGAAGGAATTTGCTCTGGGTGTGATTCTGCAACAGGCAAGATGTGAACTCATCCTGCAGCTGGTGACTGGCTCCAGAGCAGCAGCAGGGGCAGGAAAGGGTCAGGATGACTCAGGGCTCAGGCACATCTGTGGCGGTGCCCAAATTCCAGGGCCAGGTCAACCCTGGAGCATCCAGGAGGTGACAATAATCTGGTTTTTGAGGGATAAGTCCCAGCAGAGGATGTGCTGTCTCCAAGGATTGAACATTTGCTGCCCTCCGTGGCTCAGGAGCACTCTGAGGAGCTTCCCATCTGCACAGTTCCCCATGAAGGGCTTCTGAGGGAAGGGAGAGGCCCTTGGGGTCACAGCACATGGTTTTTCAGAGAAACAGAGCATGCAGGGCTGGGGAGACACAACTTCCACTCACTGTGTCCTCTAGGAACAGACTTCCCCTCTCTCCAGGTGATCTCCCAGCACCTCCTCACTGCTGCAGGATTTTTTCTCACGTTTTTTTCTCTGTTTGAGATCAGAACACCATGTCCTTTCCAGCAGGAAAACAAAGGATGAAATTGTTCAGTGACCCCCGTGGCCCATTCTCAGGCCTCTCTCACCCTCTTTGCACTGCACACCACGATTCTTCCACGCTCTGCAAATTTAACAAATCCCCGCTTGTTTCAAGCAGCATTAATAAAAATATCACATAGCACCAGAGCTGTGGGGTCCCACACACTCCTGGCAGTCAGGGTGAAATCCAGCCAGGCCATTTCCACAGGTTGACAATGACAATGAGGTGTCAGAAGCATTAAGGGATTTTTTTGCAATTTAGGGAGCCCCACAGGACCGAGCTGCTCATGCCATAATCCCTGCCCAGAGCACATTGCTTGCAGATTTTGAATCCCTGTCAAAAATGACGTCAGGTTAAACTCCAGGAAAAGAACAGGAGCGAGTGCCTGCTGGTGTGGGAACACAGGGCTGGGCAGAGATTCCCAAGGATTTCCCAGCCAGCTCTTCCCAAGCTGCTGCAGAGCAGCATTGCAGCACCATCTGCTGCCTGCTGCTCCCCAGCTCCTCAGCAGGCAGCTGAGAAATGCCTCCCTCACTCCTCAGGGTGACAAACCCTGCAGTCACCGATCAGAACGTGGATCTGTCTTTTCTTGGGGGAAATCAGGGCTCAGGTTCCTCAGAGTTCCCTCAGCTGAAGCACAGGCTCAGATCTTGTGGTCAATACAGCAGGTGAGCGTGAGCAGCAGAAGCACCAACTTACAGAGTTTAATTGCTGCAAATATTTACTCAGGGCTTAAGCAAATTAACACCCTGCTGGCACTTCTCCTTGCAGCAGCCTCCTGTGAGGGCAGAGCACACCTGACTCCATGTGTGG